TAGAATCAACCTAAGATGCCCATCTATGACAGATTGGATGAAGAAAATGTACATATACACCAAGGAATACTATGCAGCCGTAACAAAGAACGAGATCATGTCTTTTGCAGGAACATGGATGGAGCTGGAGGCCATTATCCTGAGTAAACAAAAACAGGAACAGAAAACCAAATACCACATGTTCTCACTTTTAAGTGGGAGCTAAAGGGTGAGAACAGATGGACACAAAGAAGGGAACAACAGTCACTGGGGCCTATTGGAGGGTGGAGGGTGGGAGGAGGGAGAGGATCAGAAAAAATAACTATGGGGTACTAGGCTTATGTTATGGTTTGGCTGTTTCCCCACCCAAATCTCAACTTAAATTGTACCTCTCAGAATTCCCGCGTGTTGTGGAGGAACCCGGGGGAGATAATTGAATCATGGGGGTCGGTCTTTTCTGTGCTATTCTTGTGATAGTGATTAAGTCTCACCAGATCTGATGGGATTATCAGGGCTTTCTGCTTTTGCTTCTTCCTAATTTTTCTCTTGCTGGCACCACGTAAGAAGTGCCTTTCACCTCCCACAGTGATTCTGAGACCTCCCCAGTCATGTGGAACTATAAGTCCAATTAAACCTGTTTTTCTCCCCAGTCTCGGGTATGTCTTTATCAGCAGCGTGTAAATGGACTAATACAGCTTAGTACCTGGATGATGAAATAATCTGTACAACAAATCCCTGTGACACAAGTTTACCTATATAACAAACCTGAACATGTTCCCCTGAACCAGAAATAAAAGTTAAAAAAATTTAAAAAATATACTGCTGATTTAGGCCGTTATATTTTGGAGTAATCTGCAATACAGCAATAGGTAACCAACACAGCTTATCATAATCCTTGCTTCCTTGAAGCCAGAAACTTGCTTTCTCAGACTCACTTGCAGCCAGGCACAGGCGTGTGACCTGGTCTCAGTCCATCAGACACCCCTGAACAGAACTGTAGGCTGGAAAAGGGAAGCCCAAGGAGAGATCCTTCTTGTGAGTAGGTGGGGAGCCAGCCAGCTTCCGGAGACAGCAGCAGCTAAGGTTCCCATGGGACTTTCGAGCCCAGTGTCACTGGCTCTGTCTAGAGTGCTTGTACCTGGCTAAAGCTGGTGTCTTCCCTGGGGTGGTTCAGTGTTATAATCTTAATTATACCACTCAGATTTTAGGAGTGTCGTTCTAGGCTGTGTAACAGAGCTAGGCTCTGTTCCTAGCTAAATTCTTGACTCTCCTAGAGGTTCCTCAAGTGACATCTCTACATTCCTTTTGGTCTTGCTGGGTTGAACTCTGCTGTTTGTAAGCAAGGACTCTGACTTACACACCTGCAAGCCAGTTTAGACTGACCTTGCTGGAAATAGTGCCTGACACAGAGTTCACACTCCAGATGTTTTTTTGTTGTTGTTGTTGCTATTTACTATTCAGTGTGCCCTAACTCATGGACCTTCCTGCTCCTCTTACTGTCTCAAAGTCTTCACTTCAGTGACCATCCCGGTTTGCTGTTTTCCACACAGACCTAACTCAGGATGGCAAGTAGATTTTATCTCTTCACCAAATTGGGTCAATTAGTGGAAGCTGCCAGTAGAGAAACACTGTGTTAAGAATTGGTGTTGGCTTAGAGGAGAGTGTGGTCATCGATGAAGAATGTCTGCTCTAAGTGCAGGGGGCGGGATTTGGCGTTTGGAACACCTTGCTGTCTTTGACTTAACTTCAAGGAGTCTGGGACAAAATAATTTGGTGAAACTAATTCACATAAAAATTTAAATAACATGTAGTTCCCTAGGAGCATTTATATTTTAAAACAATACACCTTGTATGAGTTAGAACACTGGTTCTTTAACAGAAAGCCATCCGGAGGATCAAGTCAGAAGTTTCTCTTCTATGGAATATGCCATGCAGTTAACTCATGGCTTCCATGGTGGCTCCAGCTGCTGCCTTTTCCAGATTCTGGAAGTGACTGTAACTGAATGACCTGGAAGTTACGCACACCACCTTTACTCATATCCTATTCCACAGTAGTTCCAAGGGGCCCGGGAAATGTGGTCTTCAGCTAGATAGTGTGTGTCCAGATTAGATCCACTAGAAATAAACAGGGACATATGGACACTGGGGACCAGTTAGGAGTCTTTACTACATACACTTTCCTAAGTGGATCATAACAGCTCACTTCTGGAGAGTGAAACTATAAAGTCAAGGATTTCAGATACTGCATGGATGCATGTGATCTTTATTAGGCTTTTCCTCTAGCCTGAACCTGGGTAATCTTCCACTCTGCCCTTCTGATTGGGACGCAGGTTCCCACCCATATAAATTAACACCATCTTGCAATTCTTTGGGGGTATAAGCTATTTTCTCTTGGGTTAGACATGGCGTTTGTCCCCTTAGGGTGTGCTGGGCTCTGGTCTGGTGGGCATGAGAGGTACTGGGTGAGTGCTGAGGAGAAACAGTGTTCCCTTGCAAGGCAGCTTCCAGGTAAGAGTAGCATGAGGGCTTCAGCAAAGGGAGGCCAGTCTCCCAGCCAGGTCAAGAGAAATGACTTCTGTGGGTGAGGGAGGCAAAGCGTGTGAGGGGTGTAGGTTCTCAAAGGTTTCTGAGTCAACTCAAATGGACTCATTTCGGTTTTTAGGGTCAGATTTACTTCCAGTCCGTGCTCTGATTCTCACATGGGAGGTTTGGCACAACTGTGAATTCAACACATCTTGTAATTCTGCAACCTCATCAGCCAAATTTTTGGACTGATTTTCAGCAGTATCAGTCCTTCAGCTAGAAGAGCTCTGGTAATCTTTTAGGGCTTTCATGGAGTGTTTCACCTGTTCTGACTCTTTTTAATTATTTATTGGCTCTCTTATGGTTGCAAGATGGCTTCCATACATCAACAATTACAGCTATTCTTCCCGTGTACCTTTTAAAAAATAAATAATTTTTAAAAAATTGGCAAATAAAAATAGTTTCTCTGACTCTTGTTGAGGTTTTCAACCTCGGAGCTTATCCTTTCCATGGCAGTCAGAAGCAGCCTAATCCCCGCCCATCCTTGCTACCATAATGGTCAAGTTCAGCAGCGACTTACTCCCCCCGAGCTTTCCTTTCCCTGTGTCCTTTGCCTCAGGCAACCACAGCCGGTAATAATTGTGGAATTGTCATGCTATGACTTTACACTAACTACTGGTTTTCCCATTTTCCACTGACTCCAACCCCATTACTGAGGTCAGGGTCAAAGTTGATTAATAACCTCGATCTTTAAACCCACTTCTGGCACAGAGCCCTAAGTCAATATGCTAAGTGTTTCAATGGAAGGGTTGTTGTTGTTGTTGTTGTTGTTGTTGCTGTTAAGAGGCAGGGTTGGCTGGGCACAGTGGCTCATGCCCATAATCTCATCACTTTGGGAGGCTGAGGCGGGTGGATCATTTGAGGTCAGGAGTTTGAGACCAGCATGGCCAACATGGTGAAACCTCATTTCTACTAAAAGAAAAAGTAAAAAACTTAGCCAGGCGTGGTGGCGCATGCCTGTAATCTCAGCTACTAGGGAGGCTGAGGCAGCAGAATTGCTTGAACCTGGGAGGCGGAGGTTGCAGTGAGCCGAGATCGCACCATTGCATTCCAGCCTGAGCGACAGAGTGAGTTTCACCTGTTCTCACTCTTTTTAATTTCAAAACAAATGTTTTTTTTAAAAAAAGAGAGACAAGGTCTTGCTTTCTTGCCCAGACTGGAGTGCAGTAGTGCCATCATAGCTCATTACCGCCTGGGCTCAAGCAATCCTACTGCCTCAGCCTCCTGAATAGCTGGAACTACAGCCTCAAGCCACCATGCTCAGCTAATAGAAAACATTTAATTCAGATAATTGGTTATAAAGATGTGGAAATGTTCAAGGAACAGAAGGAGAAATGAGTCATTAGTCTAAGGCTTTGGAGCATGAGCCTACCCCTGGAGTTGTGCTGCTTTGGTACTAGCATGGCTGCAGAGGTGTTGTCAACATGGACTGCTCAAATCCACAGTGGCTTCACCTCCACGGTCATGGCAGCAGCTGCTAGGAGCTGGCGTAACATCATAACTCGTTTGTGAATTTATGACCTCCAAATGTCCACTGTTCAAATGCAACACACTGGGTTTGTAGACTGCCTGGAACCGTCTTCGTGAAAATCTCTGAACGATTCCTCTTGGCCTATAGTGTACTTAGCTTTTGCAGCAGAGAAGGAACCTGAGATGGCTTTTGTAATTATGGAGTATAGATTTTCTCTGGCAGTTGAAGGAATTCTTGAGTGGTGAAATGAGTCATGCATTCCTTTCTGAAGAAGAAACTGCTTGGTCCTAAAGAGATTTCCAGAGATAATAATCTAATTTTTCCTGTCCCTTTCATCTTTGCTCGAGGCAAAGGCAGTTACTTTCTGGTTGTGTGGAAGTATAAAATGACAGCTGATATTGCATGTCAAGGTAGCGTCTCTATTCAATGCTACCTTAAATATTAGGTCTAAATATAGGTCCAAATATAGTATTCTGAGAAAGAAAAAGTCAATTCTGCTTCCTGACATGGCTGTGGGGTGGTGAGTGAAATAGTATAATTAGTCGAAATTGAGAACATGTATTATATTTATAGGAAGCATTTTTAAAGCATTAGAATGTAATGAAATCTTTTGAATCTTTTTGCCAGCAGTTTATGACAGTAAAAGCCTTCTTGCACCCATGTCAACCTAGAAAAATACAATTAGGCTGGGTGCAGTGGCTCACGCCTGCAATCCCAGCACTTTGGGAGGCCAAGGCAGGCAGATCACTTGAGGCCAGTTCAAGACCAGCCTGGCCAACATGGTGAAACCCCATCTCTACTAAAAATACAAAAAATTAACCACGCATGGTGGCATACACCCATAGTCTCAGTTACTTGGGAGGCTGAGGCAAGAGAATTGCTTGAACATGGTAGGTGGAGGTTGCAGTAAATTGAGATTGCATCACTGCACTCCAGCATGGGCAACAGAGTGAGACTCCATCTCAAAAAGAAAAAAAGATAGTATCTGATTTTAAAAACTATTTTAAATAGAGAGTTAATTTACATACAGTGAAGTGCACACATGTAGTTGTACAACTCAGTGGGTTTTGAAAAATGGTTCTCACCTGTGTAATTTACCCCAATTAAGGCATGGGGAACTCTAGAAAGTTCCCCCATGTTCCTTTCTGGTCACGCTCACCCCACCCCTCCACCAGAGGCACCCTCTGTTTTGATTTCTCTCATCAAAAACTAGTTTTGCTTATTTCTGAACTTTGCATGAATGGAATGATACAGTACGTACTCTTATATCTGGCTTCCATTAATCCATATATAATCTCATGGGGAGACTGGCCCATGCTGTTGCATAGGTCAGTAGTTTGTTTTTATTGGCCAGTAGTATTTATTATATGGATATTCCACCATCTGTTTATCCATCCTCCTTTTGGAAAGCATTTGGGTTGCTTTGCTTCTGACCATTGTGTAAATAGATGAACAATGAACACTTGTGTGCAAGTCTTTGTAGACACTTATTTTCATCTGTCTTGGGTAAATGCCAAGGAGTGGACTTACTGCATCAAAGGCTAGGTATATGTTTAAATCTGTAAGAAACTCCCCAACTCTTTCCTAAGCTGGCTGCACCATTTTACGTTCCCACCTGTAAAACTTAGAAAATGAGGAAAAGAACCACCAGTGGACCTGGAATTGGGAGAAATCCCTGAAAGACAACGGTAGATAGAAGCAGATGGGCAGACAGGGTAGCCCGGAATATCCACAGCAGGTGTGTCCTGCCACAGAACTTGGAGCTATTCCAGAGGAAGCAGGAATGAAGAGCAGGGCACGGAACACAGATCCTCATCATAGTTAACCTGGCTGTGCCAGCAGGAGGCGGCACTGGGAGTAGCATCCAGGCTCAGAGCAAAAGCTGCATGCATCCAAGGGACCCCACAGGATGAGCTGGGAGCTGGTCTCCTTGATGACAAATACCAGTTCCTTCCTTCTGGAAGTGTGCACCTCATTCTCAATCAAACATCTGATGAAAAGCAACCTTAAGCAAAGAATTAACACCCGAGGAAACAAAGTTAAAAGAATGAGAGAGAGAGAGAGAAATATATACAATGACTATCTTCAAGAGAGATATGAGATAAATGTAGTCTCTCGCAGTGCATAGATTTCTGAATTCATTCTTACTGAATGATAGAATATGTGCATAAATAAATTAGTCCAGGAATGGATATTTAGATGGAAAAGCTTGTGCCCTAATCAAAGCAATCCCCACTGGTGATACCGCCTTTCCAGAAACATATTTGTGCAGCTTTTCTCCTGCGGATCCAGGTGCTACAGATAGGGAGGAAGAACATTTCAGGCAGCTGGCTCTGGCAAAGTCCCACATTGCTTTGAGAGATATGACTGCACAGACAGTCAGGCAATACGTGGAAGAGAAACCACCACTGATTGGTCCCCACGGTGGAATGAGTCGTGACTGCAGCAAAGACCATGACGACGACGCATCTGCCCTGAGCTCAGAATCCCTGACATGGGGCTCAGGGAAGGGTTTTATCATTAGCGTGTGAGATACATTCATCCACAGGAGCGCCCCGGCACAGACTTCTTTCAAATGCAAGGAACAGGCTGAGGTTAGAAAAGAATAAATGATATTTTAGCTTAATTTATGTTGTTTACTGGGGGAAAAAAAAAAGATAGGAAAAACTTAATGTGTCAGACATGATGGTGATTTCAATGGAATGCAGAGTAATAACTAAGGTGTGTGCTCTCCCCACACCATCATGGCTTTAGGATCTGATACCATTCTGAAGTGCAAGAGTATTAATTTAGCTGAAAGAAAGCTAGGTATAGGGGATGGGAGACACCGCTGATTAGGGACTCCAGATATTTATTTTAGGGTCGGTGATACTTTGGTCTGTGTTATTTCTATACCTCTATACCCATATTTGTGTTTCACTTTGTCTTTTGTTTAAAACGTACATTTTGATTATAACTATTTCTGCAAAAAGTGATGTGTTTTGGAGGCATGAGATATGTGGGTGGGCTTTCACACACAGAGACACGATCACAACAAAAATCTATAGTACTTTACTAGAAGTAAATCAACTGTATTTGAAAATGTCTAAAACGTCCGATTTTCACATTGGAAAAGGTGGTGCTTCAGTGCACATCGATACTGTCACGTTCCTTTCCTCTTTGTCTCCAGTTGCATCTTTATTGAGATCAGCTCATGATACAACAAGCAACTAGATTGGTCTGCTTATTGCTGTCTGGGCACCCAAGCAGAGATACTGCGGTTTTACCATCTGATCATGGTCCTGCCATCCCATAGAGCTTCCCAGTCCTCCCTGGGATGTCATACTTGCTCACGTGAGTCACTCTCCAGATCTTCCCTGTGTGTTCTCTCTTAGCATAAAACGCCACCAGGGCAGCATTAACCCTTTCTGTCAAGAGGGTGGGTGATGGGTAACGAACAACAGAGTAACTGCTCTTTGACCTTGAAAGAGTTCAAGGTTTACACGATATTTACCCTTCCTATGTGCATAGCATTGGAATATTTTATCATTTTTCCTATCTAATTCAGTCTAGGGTATTCTAGTATTTCATTTTTTAGAAAATGCTAAATTGGGCCGGGCGCAGTGGCTCATGCCTGTAATCCCAGCATTTTGGGAGGCCAAGGCAGGTGGATCACTTGAGGTCAGGAGTTTGTGACCAGCCTGGCCAACATGGTGAAACCTCGTCTCTACTAAAAATACAAAAATTAGCCAGGCATGGTGATGCATGCCTGTAATCCCAGCTACTTGGGAGACTGAGGCAGGAGAATCTCTGGAATCCTGGAGGCAGAGGTTGCAGTGAGCCAAGATGGTACCACTGCACTCCAGCCTGGGCGACAGAGCTAGACTCCATCTGAAAAAAAATAAAAATAAAAATAAAAAAAGCTACACTGATTTCACTTCTTTCTAATAGGCTTTGGTTCGCAGTGTTAAAATTCTACTCTATATCATCTTCTACTGATAAAATAGAACCTTCTCTCCCTCCACACACCACAAAATTTTTGTTTCACCGAAAGCTTTGATAGGTAGGAAAGCGGTATTCTGGGCTATGACAGGAACACTCAAGATGAAGCCATCTTTTAAAGAAAGGGAGTGGACCTAGTACGACTTCAGGAGTCATCACCCTCAGTTATTCCTAAACCGTTTGGAGCCTGCCGCTCCTTGCCCACTGGGGTGTGAGTCAGCTGGAGCTCACCCAGTCCTAACCCGCCCTGTGTGCCTGTGTGGGCAGAACAGCCCGAAAAGTTTATTTTGTGCTTTGCATTCACAAGTAGCTGCAGAAAAGCTCATAATACATCTCTCTGAGTCTTATCACTTTGCAATCTCATCTTTTCTGAGAAAATATTCTATTTTTTTAGTGCTGCCTTTTTGCCTAGGCTGGCAATTTTTTTGAAGATAGATTTATTCAGAGTTAGCCTCTGCAGAATAAAAAATTAGGCAATTTAAAAAGATAGATATTACTTTCTCAAAACAGATAAGACACAAGTTGTACATATATATATATATATATATATATATATATATATATATATATATTTTAAAAGCAATTACCATCTGCCCGATAGAGAAGAATAACTGTTGGAATTGAGGTTTATTGTGTAGTTTTATAATTAGGATGCCTCCAAACAGAATAATATCCTTATCAGAATTCATGAGGAATGCCTTCTAATATTTTCCTTTTATTTTCAAACTCATTATGTAAACAGTCCTTTGGTTTTCAGCAAGAGGAATTTAGAATGTAGAAGGTTGTCTGGCAGGGCAGAGCATTTGCAAAGATATATATATTTTCTAAAGGGTTTCAAGAGGTGGAGGGGCTACTTCAGTAAGCTGAGAGCCAGGTCCTTTGTGATTGATATCACTCACGTCACTCTTGTCAAGGGTGCGTGCTGAACTAGCTGCTGACTCTCAACCCCGAGGCCAGCTCCTGGCTGCATGAGATGTGGGTGGGACCCACTGACAAGGCTGCCCTGTGGTCCCCAATGTCCCTGCCTCCTGCAGGGCTCCTCCACATTCGGTTCTGCCTGTCTCTGGACCACTTATATACTCTGATCTGGGACATGGTCACTCTCGTGCTACCAGTCAAGAGCCTCTCTTATCCCTGAGATGCCCTTGCCTCCCCTTCCTTAGTTACCTGTGGTCTCCCCAGAGTGTGGACTATTTGGATCATTCAACTGGGTTTAAATGAGCATGGGCTGGGGGTGAGGAAAATGCTGTGTCCCCCCAAGACACACACACAGAATGTCCCCTGTTCAGGACTGAATTGTGCCTCCTCTAAATTCATATGTTGACGCCCTAACCTCCAGTGCTTCAGAAGGTGACTGCACTTGGAAATAAGGCCTTTAAAGAAGTGATTAAGGTTAAACAAGGTCATTGGGGTGGACCCTAACCCAGTGTGACTGGTGTCCTTATCGTAAGAGGTAATTAGGAGGACATAGCAGGACGCTAAGGAGAGAGGCCTCAGAAAAAGCCAACCCTGCCAACGCCTTGATCTTGGACTTTCACCTTTCAGAATGGTGAGACAATCCATTTCTGTAGTTGAAGCCCCCAGTCTTTGGTACTTTGTTATGGCAGCCCTAGCAGATGAACACACCCCCGCGCCAGGAATCTGTTAACCCAAGTGGCATTTCACACAACACAGAGGGGAGATGTCTTTGAGCAAAGCTTCCTTGCCAAGTCTAGATGGCAGTTGCTTCTATTTTCAACCTCCCTCCGTAAGCTAGTTGTAGTTGATGGTGTAAAACACAGGCAGACCCTGACTTTGGGAAGGGCTGTGTCCCCAAGGCTCACTTTTAAGTCTGTTAGAAAACAAACCATATTTGTCCTAAAAACACTGTTATGCACGGTGATTAGGTCCCCAAACCACTACACAGTGGCTTTTAAAATCCTAATATATAGAATTATTTCCTGGCTGGTCTATGTCGTCTCTTACAAGCCATCAGACAGACAGACTTAGTTCCCACCCACAGAAGGCTACATTGCTTTCTGTTTTGCTGGTACCACTGGGGTTTTTCCTGGGCTCATCCAGCACAAGGTGCTGGGATCTGGGATGGTGTGGGAGGGGGATCCTTAAAGTCTTTCTCCATTCCTGTATTTGAAGACTTTCATGTAATAGCTGGCTTTGCTTACTCTTTCCTGCCAAGTAGGTTATGAACAGCCTATAAGTAGGGTTCTCACCTTCTCCTCTTCTGCACCCCTCAATGGCCAGCAAAGCCTGGCACCTGTAGGTGATTGAAAATGACCTCTGAGATTGTGCGGATGGAGAAGGCTGTGGTCTCAGTGGAGGATGTTGGGGACCCGATGGGAGGGGGCTGGCTTCCCCTTCCCTTCCCTGTCCTTCCCCTCCCAGATGGGCCTTGGCGAATTGCACTTGGGGAGATAGAAAGGTCTTCTCTTCCCTCTCCTCCCCTCTGTCTTATTGATGGTGGAAGGGTCAGGCCCCAAGGGCTCTGGGAGAGGAGAGCAAGAAAGGAGGGCAAACTCAGGAAGGGAGCGGCCCTGGGCTGTGGCCGGCCGCCTGCCAGCATGGAGAGTCAGCTTTCCTTCCCAATCTCCTAGCTGGAAGAGCCTCAGAACACATCTAGTCCATCCCTGGATTCAGGGACAGGCTCCTAAGTGGCAACACTGTCACAGAAAGACTTCACAGGCGGCAGCAAAAGCAGATCCAAAGACTTCTGGGTCCCGGCAGGCTCCGAAGCCTGGGGCCCTTCTGTTTGGGTGGTTCTCCAGCTCCTCTGTCTCCCCACCGGCCCCAGGCCCGGGAACTTCTCCAAAGGAAGACAGAGCAGTGATGAACTAGCTCAGGCTGGGAACCATAAAGGGCTATTTTTACAAGTCATACACAGAAGCCGAGTCTGTGACATAGAACGAGTCTGTGTACAAACAGGAAATGTGACCCATCTTGTGACGACTTTCAAACGTCACAGAGTCTGAGGTCATGATGACATATGAAAGGAATGTTTCCTCAAGGTCTAGGATCTGCTGAGTTTTATGCAATAATAAAATTTGGAAATATTCAAATATGAGAATAGTTTATTAAAATATCCACATTTGAAAATAGTGTCAAATTAGAAATACAAGTATATGACAAATTGCCTAATATCACTAAGGATGAGAAATGCAAATCAAAGCCACAGTGAGGTCTCATCTCATGCCAGTTAGAACAGTTACTATCAAAAAGGCAAAAGTGAACGAACGCTGACAAGGCTGCCAAGGAGAGGGAATTCCCACATGGGGTGTGGGAATGTAAACTAGCACAGCCACTTTGGGGAACAGTATGGAGGCTCCTCAAAACACTGCAAATAGGAATATCACATGATCCAGCAACCCCACTAGTGGGCATTTGCCCAAAGGAAAGGACATTAGTATATCCAAGAGACATTACACCCTCATGTTTACTGCAGCACTTTTCACACTTGCCAAGATATGGAATCTACCTAGATGTCCAACAACAAATGCATGGATAAAGAAAATGTGGTATATATACACCATGGACTACGATTCAGCTCTAAAAAAGAATGAAATTGGGAGGTTGAGGTGGGTGGATCACCTGAGGCCAGGAGTTTGAGACCAGCCTGGGAAACATGGTGAAACCCCATCTCTACTAAAAATACAAAACATTAGCCAGGTGTGGTGGTGGGTGCCTGTAATCCTAGCTACTAGGGAGGCTGAGGCAGGAGAATCGCTTGAACCTTGGAGGTGGAGGTTGCAGTGAGCCGAGAGCACCCCAGTGCACTCCAGCCTGAGGGACAGAGCAGGATTTTGTCTAAATAAAAAAGAATGAAATTCTGTCATTTGTGGCAACATGGATAGGACCGGAGGATGTTATGTTAAGTGAAATAAACCAGGAACACAAAGTTAAACATCCCCTGTTCTCCCTCATATGTGGAAGCTTAAAAAAGCTGATCTCATAGAATTGAAAAGTAGAACAGAGGATACTAGAGGTTGGGAGGGGAGAGCAGCTAGGGAGAGATTTGTTAAAGGATGCAAAGTTACAGGTAGATAGACAGGAGGAATAAGTCCTAGTGTTCTAGACCAGCAGTCCCCAAACTTTTTGGCAGCAGGAACTGGTTTTGTGTAAGACAATATTTTTCATGGGCCAAGGTAGGGGATGATCCATCTCAGATCATAAGGCATTAGATTCTCATAAGGAGTGTTCAACCTAGATCCCTGGCATGCGCAGTTCACAATAGGGTTTGCACTCCTTTGAGAATCTAATGCTGCTGCAGATCTGATAGCAGGTGGAGCCCAGGCAGCAATGCTCGCTGGCTTGCCACTCCCCTCCTGCTGTGCAGCCGGTTCCTAACAAGCCAGGGTGCTGATCCATGGCCCGGGGGCTGGGCACCCTGTTCTATGCCACTGTGGGATGACTGTGGTTAACAATAATATATAGTTTCAAACAGCTAGAAGGAGAATATGGAATGTTCCCAACACAAAAACGTGCTAAATATTTGTGAGACTGGGTCCGCTGATCACCCTGGTGTGATTACTGTACATTATATATACTGAAACACAATTTTATGAAATTCAGCAAGCCCTAGGACCCATAAACACGTACAATTGTTATGTGTCGATTAAAAATGCACAAATAAGGAAAGTCTTGAAAACAAGCCTGAAAGTATTACCCTGTCTTAAGGAAAGCTCCCTGAAATGGTGGGTGAGACTCGATTTATTCTGAAGTGCAACTCCCCAACTCCCCAACTCCCCATACTGTCTCCTAAACTGAACTCGTCTGATATTAGTTTAATCTTCCTCCCTCTCTCCCTCTCTTCTCCTCCCTTTCTTTCTCTGTCTTTCTCTCTTTCTTCTCAGACAAGAACATCTGAATGCGGAAATGGTCAAGCCTGGGAAAATCCATGACCCGCTCAACCAACTTTTGTCTTTGACCACTGCACCAAGATCTTTCAGACTACATGGACAAGCAATTGTCGATTGATGATTGAAGATGAGCCACAATATTAGGCCTAGTCTCAAGAGGGTTTCCAGAAAGATGTGATTGTCCTTTCAGGTGGCAGTTGCATAAATGTGCTCCAGACAGCCTACTTTCCCATGAGAATGGCATGGAAGCATTGTTCATGAACTCGCGCAGCATCTTGTGGCTGAAATGTATTCTTAGCTTGCATTGACTTTTGTTGAGTATGGAGTTCCGCAGGTTTGCTCACAGTGGCGGGGCTGCTCTTCCTTTTGCCTTAGGCTTGCATCTCTCATGCTCTGGCGAAGCTGTTTTGTTGCAGTAGAGATTTTGTTGAGTGGTCTCTGTTGGGTTGATTTTCTGGGCACCACCAACAGAATTACTTAATTGGGAGTAAGTTATTTAACTTCTGTGAAATTTGTGTTCTCATCAATAAAATGAGGATAGTCCTTTCTCATACTGATTGCTAGATTAGATGTAACGTTTCCAGAATTCCTAGCTCATAGGAGTCACTCAGATATCTGTGATCTGAAAGACATCAGTAACGGTTCCCTTCAGCTTTATTTTCATCTCAGGTGTCTACAGCATCATGATTCAATCAGGGGATTTTCGACTTTGGCACTACCAATATTTTGGGCCGAGTGAGTCTTGGTGGTGGGGGTTGCCCTGCACATCCTAGGATGTTGAGCAACATCCCTGGCTTCTACCATCTGGATACCAGGAGAAACCCCTATGCCGGGTGTCTCCAGACATTGCCTAGCATTCCTGTGGGGGCAAAACCCCCCTGGCTGAGAATCACTGATTTAACCTAAAAGGATAGAGTTTTTAGTTATGAACTTCAGACTCATAGTGAGTTTGGGGGATTCTCCAGATGCCACCCTACAGCTTTCTGACATGTCTCCAAGGCATGTTAGCCCACCTCAGCTTCCCTAGTAGCTGGGATTATAGGCATGTACCACCAGGCCTGGCTCTTTTTTGTATTTTTTGCAGAGACCAGGCTGATCTTTAACTCCTTGGCTCCAGCGATCTGTCCATCTCAGCCTCCCAAAGTGCTGGAATGCACCCAGGCTGTCTGTGCAAAGGGAGGAATAGGTGCTTGAACAGAAGAGAGATGCTGCTCAGAACTACTTAGGGACTGAATAGTGTTGTTAGAATCTGAGTAAAAGGATGTGGTTTTGAGGCTATGGCTACCCCCAAAGAAGATAATTGGTACTAGGAATTTGCCGTGTCCTTAATTACTGTGACCATCTTTAATTTTCTGTCTGCTTCCAGAGAAATGTTGGAATAGTTTTATGAACAGTGGTTGTACCAAGCATGATAAACTTTATTTCCTTTTTTGGAGATGGAATTTCGCTTTGTCACCCAGGCTGGAGTGCAATGGTGCGATCTCAGCTCACTGCAGCCTCTGCCTCCCGGGTCAAGCGATTCTCCTGTCTCAACCTCCGGAGTAGCTGGGATTACAGGTGTGTACCACCATGCCTGGTTAACTTTTGTATTTTTAGTAGAGATGAGGTTTCACCATGTTGGCAAGGCTGATCTTGAACTCCTGACCTCAGGTGATCCACCTGCCTTGGCCTCCCAAAGTACTGGGATTACAGGGATGAGCCACCGCATCAGGTCATAAACTTTACAGTGCTTCTACATGACAAATGTCATTTGATTCAAGATCTATGTCTATACATCAATAGATGCATTCATGCTTCCACCTATTCATTCGTTCTTCCATCCATTCATCTATTCGTCTGTCAAAGTCCCTTAGAGGTAACCTATCTCAAAAGGCAAAAGGCTAAATGTTTTAGTCAAGTGCAGAGAGAATCAGGATCTCCAGTATGATCTGCTTTTAAAGATGATATATGTGCATATATATACACGCCTATAGGTATATATGTTTAAGTATGCATAGATATATGTAACATATATTTTTAATATATGATATGCATATCTATTAACACATATGTTATCATAAATGATATAATTAGAATCAGATACTCTAGGTATATGTTCTCCAGTAAAAATGGCATCAGGCATAGAACTTGCATATGTTAGTGAGAGGGAAGACAATTTCTGTTCTCAAGGACATTTTAATCCAGTGAAGCATAGCATATGAATTAACAGTATATTTTTAAGAAAAAAGTAGCAGGAAATAAGAACATTGTTATTATTATCATTGCTATTATCTGAGAGAGAGTCTCGCTCTGTCACCCAGGCTGGAGTGTAGTGGCACCATCACAGCTCGCTGCAGCCTCGACCTCTCGGGCTCAAGTGATCCTCCCACCTCAGCCTGCTTAGTAGCTGGGATTATAGGCGTGCACCACCACGACTGGCTAATTTTTGTATTTTTTGCACAGACAAGGTTTCACTATGTTACCCAGGCTGGTCTTGAACTCGTTAGTTCAAGCAATCTGTCCACCTCAGCCTCTCAAACTGCTGAGATTACAGACATGAGCAAGTGCACCCCACCAATATCACATTATTAAATATGTACTTTCTTGTGAAGGAGAAAGATGGCTTGGTAATTGGGACACTGTTATTTTCCTTATGAAAACTTATTTTTCTGTGCTCTTTGAGTCAGTGATTTCCTTTTGCTGAGTCTCAGTTTACTCACTTTTTAAGATGTTTTCATTTGTATCTACTGGAAGTTCTTGCTAGAGCTTATTCCACGAGAAATCTGGGACTCCTGTAATGACTGATACCACCTAGTCAATTCCTATTTTCCTCCTTTACTTACACATTTTCAAAACTATTTCTTAATCTCTTGCTTGTCTGAAGGAGGTTTTTTTCTACTGTGTAAATGTTTGAGTCTAGCTGGTTGATTTTTATGAGCTGTTTGCCTGAAGCTTAATAAATAAGACATCATTTTAAAAGGGCTTTTACTTTATGAAGAATGAGAAAAGTTAAGCTGCAGTATTCCCAGATTTGATCCACAGCATGCTCGATGTCACATGTACACTTACAGATGTTTTTATTGGAACCCCCCTTTTATTTGTCAGTTTTCATCTGCTTCCCGTCTTTACAAGTTGTGGCTTATGTCTGCAACTCTCCAGATTTCATCTATTTCCAAAGTCAAATGATTTTTCATTTATTTGAATCAAATGAGGTCTGCTGTTAGTCAATTTTGCAGGTGTGAAAAAGATATTGTTCATTTTTTCTACAACATTTCCCTTTCCTGTAAAATGACAAATTCTAGCAAATCAAAATTTGACGGGAAAGCAGTTCTCATATTTACATGCTTAGAATAAGCAATAAGCAGGTAACTTTTAAAACTCTTCCTTTTAACCTAAGAGTTTAACTCTTCCTTTTAAGCTGAGTAATAAATAAAAGTTTCGTTCATTCACTCTTCATTCATTTAATTAACATTTGGTGAATGTGATAGATTTTGCTGGGCTTTGATAGAAAAAGAAAGCAAAGAAGGAAGGAAGGAGAAGGAAGGGAGGAAAGAAGAAAGAGAAGGAAGGAAGGAAGAAAGGAAAGAAAGAAAGGAAGAAAGAAAGAGAGGAAGGAAAGAAAGAAAGAGAGAAAGAAAGAAAGAAAGAAAGAAAGAAAGAAAGAAAGAAAGAAAGAAAGAAAGAAAGAAAGAAAGAAAGAAAAAGAAAGGAAGAAACAGAGAAAGAGAAGGAAGGGAGGAAAGGAGGGAAGGAGTAAAACACACCACCAGGGGTTTCCAGGCCTATCTTCTGGTTCCGCCATTCTCTCCCTGGGCACACACAGACTCAACTGCACAGGGGTGTGGGGCTGTCTGGGAAAAAACTGGCGCTTGGCTCCCTGAGGGCCAATGAGCTAGAACCTCTTGGGTGAGACTCAGACATGGGTAATTTGAAAATCTCCCAGGTGTAAAGTATGCAAGGTTGGAATTGCTGGCCTCGTTAGACAGGCAGGTAAACAGATCTCCCATGTGGTGCGCTGAGTGCCCTAACAGAAGCTAGTGCCAGTGCCAGGATGGAGGATGCCTTGGTTCTCTGCCTGGTAGACAGCACGCCCCAGGAGAGACTGGGCTGGACGGGGAGGAGTAGCCCCTCACAGCTGTGCATGAATGCCTGGTTCTTGGGAGCACAGCAGCCTTCCAAACGCACTCCTGCTGGGTGAGGCCCACGCTGTCGTGCTGTGGAGTGCCCTACATGGTCAGTGTGGCCAATGTGAGGTGGACGGTGCTCCCCTCCAGGGCCACACACTGACTCTGGATCCCCCAAGGTAACTGGCTGGGCACCAGGACAGACTCAGACTCTGAGAGGGGGACGACCTTGGTACAATCATCCCATAAGATGAGGGCGCTGGCCTGTCACCCGAGGGCCACTCCCTGGTCTGCATACTCCACTGTGGTGAGTAAGAGACACATCCTCCTGGATGGGGACAGAGGGCACGCCACCAGATGGATTTGCCCAGCTGGGACAGCACAGCACGATGGCCCCCTCTGCCCCAGCGATCCCAGACTGGAGGCAGAGATTCCATCAGGAAAAAGGGACTGCAGGGATGGCACCCCTGGTGACTCGTAGAGTTAAAGTTAATCAGACTTCCTTCCTTCCTGTGTTTTTCCTCTAGATGAAAACCTTTTAAAGTTTCAATTCATTATTAAAGAATGCTGACAGATCTGCCCTTGCTCCATAGAACCAGTGCTTCCTAGCACACCGCAGGGTCCCAAGTATTCCAAAGGGCGTCTGGTGGGACTGAGAAGCGTGACTGCAAGGGACTGTTTACAGCTAGCTTTAGTTTTTGCTTGTGTTCTCTGTGGCCCTCTCTAAGTTCCTCCTTGGTCCTTAGAGTGTGGTACATATTCGCTTTCATGCCCACATCACCTCTCTCTGGTGAGTGCTTTTCTTTGAACAGAGGAAGTTGGGCCAGGCAGAAACTCAGCACCATTCAGGTCAGCAGTGACTCAAGAGGAGCCCTGAGGGACAATGAGGCTGGGCACGGAGTCCAAGTGCATGAGGCTGGGCTCTGGCCTTCACCCGTGCGTCCCACAGCCCTGCCCCGGCCTGGGTCTCATATCCGTCCCTCAGAGACTCCTTGTCCCCTTGTGCAAATGTGCCTATTAAATTCCCAGCTCCTGGCCAGGTGTGGTGGCTCTCACCTGTAATCTCAGCACTTTGGGAGGCCAAGGTGGGCAGATCATGAGGTCAGGAGATCGAGACCATCCTGAGACCATCCTGCTAACATGGTGAAACCCTGTCCGTACTAAAAATGCAAAAAGTTTGCCGGGTGTGGAGGCGGGTGCTTGTAGTCCCAGCTACCTGGGAGGCTGAGGCAGGAGAATCGCTTGAACCCGGGAGGCAGATGTTGCAGTGAGCTGAGATCGCGCCACTGCACTCCAGCCTGGGTGACAGAGCGAGACTCTGTCTCAAAATAAATAAATAAATAAATAAATAAATAAATAAATAAATAAATAAAATTCCCAGCTCCTGAACAAAAGAGATGGTCAACAGGGAGTGCTGGGAAAACCGAGGTGATCATCCATTTCCAAATACTTGT